AGAGTGGGGCTGTCATTAAGGGTCTGATGATGAAGAAGTGTAATTGGTAAGGGAACTGCTCAACGGTATACAGTAACTACCTTGTGTTTGGGCTTGATTAATTTGTATTGATGAGGACTTTACACCTAAATAGAGTGGAGCTGTCATTAAGGGTCTGATGATGAAGAAGTGTAATTGTTAAGGGAACTCCTCAACGGTATACTGTAACTACCTTGTGTTTGGACTTGTATAATTTGTATTAGTTAGAACTTTGCACCTATATATATTATAAGTAACAAAACGGGTATATGTAGCTTTACACTAAAAATGATAAAATAATAAAATAAAAACTGCGTTTAAAAAACCGACTTCAAAAAACCAAAAACCAAGAACTAATAACAAACAAAAAGTCAAAACTAAAACGCAAAAAATAACTATTATTAGTACTGATAGTATAGGTTACCCCCCACTGATAGGTAAGAAGTTGGTGCCATAAGCTCATATCATAATGATATAACTTAATGTCCACAAAATTGTGAATTAGGTACCTATTAAAGTTTTAATAAATAATTTTGTATTGAACTTATGGCACCGACTTCTAACCTATCAGTGGGTGGGTAACCTATACTATCAGTACTAATAATAGTTATTTTCTGCGTTTTAGTTTTGACTTTTTGTTTGTTATTAGTTTTTGGTTTTTGGTTTTTTGAAGTCGGTTTTTTTTAGAGTACCTACTACTTGAATTATATTAGGTATACTAGCTGTTACCCGCGACTTCGTTCGCGTAGAATTATTCATATTTCTTGTTAATTTATACTTTTTTGACGCGACAACGTGTTGATTGGCGAGGCGTATTTGAGAGCTAGTATGAAACGGAACGTTTATTGTCTACTCAAGATGGCGACTGCGGTTTGTCTGTCAGTGTCATTAAAATGAATTAATAAAACGAAATAATCTCCGTAATCCGAATTTTGCGGATATAAGTTGTCGACTCGAAATGAATATTTTTTTATGTGTTATTATTCAAGTAATGTATTTATGTATATATATGTGTATAATTATGTTATGTATTTTCCTTCGTATATTTAGGTATATATATGTCCCATACTTATTTGTCTACTGTTCGTTTTGCATTACGTATATATTTTATATTTAATAAGTATATATTGTACGATATGTATAATTATATATGATGTTAATGTTAATGTTAATCATATGTAATGTTAATTATTGTGTCATTCTAATAAGTGTTAAACGTTTACACCTACTATTGTGTCTCTCTGCATCACCCTAAGGTTGACTGTTAGAGAATGCCACTAGGCATTAAGTCCGCCATTGTATATATACAAAAAGTGTAAATAAATAAAAAAAATAAATAAAAAAATAATGTTTCGATCGAGTCTACCGTACCCCTTGACAAAATTATTAATATAATATTTATTGATGTGACATTGTTTGTTATGGATGAATTTTGTTTTAATGTTTATTGACTTTCCTTTGAATTTGACTTATTATACTTATTGATTATTTTAATTTGATTTTCGTTATTGTAATTTGAATTTAATTATTTTAATTTGATTTTGATTATTTTAATTTATTTACATAACATAACATCACGCCTTTTATCCTCGAAGGGGTAGGCAGAGGTGCACATTATACCACTGTACAATGTGACGCCCACTTCTCATTATTTATGTTATGAGTCCCATGTAATAGGGGGTGAGCCTATTGCCATATACCGGGCACAGTTCCAGACTCCGTGCTACTACTGAGAATTTTTAAAAAACCCAGTAATACTTTGCCCGACCCGGGAACCGAACCCGAGACCCCTTGCCCGGCAGTCGCAATTGCGACGACTCGGCCAACGAGGCAGTCTAATTTAATTATGATTGTTTAAATTTGATTTAGGTATCATTGTAATTATTGGACATACCAGGAATTTAATATGACATTTTATTTCAGTAATTATCATTTTATTTTGACTTTAATTATCTTATTTTTAATTTTAATTATTTTGTTTTGTTTTACTAGAATATGTTAGGTCTATTTTTGGATAATCTCTTTTTTAAAAAAAAGCTTTATCTTAACAAATATTGTGTGCCCTTACAGGGTCCGTAAATGTACTTAGCTTTAAGACTATTGTAATACCTTATTCACTTTATGGTATGCAAATAAATGAATATGAATAAATACTATTGAAGTCTACCTGCACGATAATAAAACTTGTATTTAAAATCATATAGATACTTATATAAATATTATTATAAGTAACTTAACAACATCGCGCCTTTTATTCCCGAATTGGTAGGCAGAGGTGCACATTATGCCACTGTACAATGTAACACCCACTTTCCACTATTTATGTTATGAGTCCCATGTAATAGGGGGTGAGTCTATTGTCATATACCGGGCAAAATTCCAGACTCCGTGCTACTAGGTACCTACTGAGAATTTTTTAAAACCCAGTAACACTTTGCTCGACCTGGGTATCGAATCCGAGACCCCTTGCCCCCCCCTTGTCTTCTTGTGGAAAGGTTAAATGTGGGATACCTCAAGGCAGTATCTTGTGTCCTCTATTGTTTCTAAACCATTTCTCCTAATACTCAACGATAATAGTAATTCTTCATGTATAAATGTATTTTTTTCCTTTCAGGGAATACCAAGCACGAACCTTATTCCTAATGGTATTTTCCCCGGTCGCATTGTAAAAGTGAAAGGTGGCACCACCCTCGCATCAAAGAGGTAAGTTCATATTCAGTCCAGTCGTACTGGCTAGGAAATAAAGGCGCCCGTCTTAAAGTCTTAGGCGTCTTAAATATGCGCTGGAAATCATCAAACCTGCGTTCGAGACGGTTCGTGACGACCCTCGAGAACAGCTTATATACATGGCTCAGAAGCGCGATGGGTCTATAGTTCTTCAATAAGGAGTTGTCACCCTTTTTGAAGAACAGAACCACTACACTCCTTTGCCATGCTTTCGGCGTAGTTCCTTCGAGAATGACGGAATTGAATAGTTTCTGGAGGACTAAAAGTATCGGTTTTCCACCCGCTCGCAGAAGTTCTGTTGTGATTCCGTCATCACCTGGTGCCTTATTGTTTTTGAGCTAACTGAGAGCCATCCTAATCTCGTACAGGCTGATATCTTGAATGTCCTCGATGTAGGGCCGTGTTAGTTTAGCTGTTGGATGCCGAGCTGTATCGACAATGGGTTGCCGTGTAGAGGTGTTTAACTGTCCGTAGAACCTTTCGAGCTCTCTCCTCCTGACTCCGACAAAACGTCAAACAATGCTACCGATTTCGATCTACAGTTTAGTCATTTGGCTTTGCCCAATAGACGAATTTCTTTAGAACACTTTTGAGCCCTGATTGCGCTCGATGGCATCCCTGACTCGTGCGGCGTTATATGCACGCAGATCGCGTTGCATGGCCTTTGAAGTTCGCCTATTGAGTTTACCGTATTCAGACATGTCAACTGAAGGCTGTCGCCTCATCTCGTGTCAGTGTTTCAATAATTTGAACTATGTAGTCTCACAATTTGAAATAATGCATCTATACAAATGAAAATCGTTGATTAAGTATTCATAATAAATAAAGAATATCAAAAAAATATTCGGTGCCACAGGATATCTAGATTCATCAAATATCCTATGGCACCGAATATGATAATGATGATGAAGGAGTCTTTTATACCATTAATGTGTTCAGGTTCTCGGTAAACTTACAATGTGGTCCGAAAATGTACCCTGGAGAAGACATAGCGTTTCATTTCAATCCTCGCTTCGACACAAATACTCTGGTCCGCAACCACTACGCCGGGTCCAAGTGGGGCACTGAGGAGACGAGCTCTGGCGTACCGATGAACAAAGGAGAATGTTTCGAAATACTTATCTATTGCTATAATAATCGTTTTAAGGTAAGTGGTTCAATCGTAATTCTACTAATATTGTAAACCCCATTCCTACTCCTACACTTCGAGCCGGAGCCCCGGTAACCCGTTAAGTTCTCCGCGGCTCCGTATCGGCATCAGCCGTGGTGGTCTGATGGCACTTTGAGGCACGCGCGGAATGCGATGCGCCGTACGCTCGGGTCAAGTTTTGGTCATCTGCAGGCTTTTCGGCCACCGTGGCCGGATCGTCCCGCGATCCCCGCCGCCCGGAGAGTCCTTCGTGACGGCTGTGTTGTGAGGAGGCAGCGCTTCGCTGCCTTATGCGCCCCGCTTCCGTCGTAGCTAGCATGACTGCTTCGCAAAAGTAGAAGACGGCATCCTAGTCCCCGTCGTTCCGTATCATGACCCGCAGTAGGGCTGGACGCGGGAGGTCGCCATCGCCGATCACATCCCTGAGGGCACGGTGGTGCTCAGCCCACGCAGGGCATTCTCGTACAGTGTGTTCCACCTTGTCCTCAGGGCGGTCCTCGCAGTGATGACACCCCGACGTTTCCTTCCGCCCTATCAGACACAGGTACCTCGCGAAGCTCCCATGTCCGGCGAGGACCTGCGTCAGGCGGTAGGTGAGGACGCCGTGGCGTCTCCCAAGCCACTCTTCAAAGAGGGGACTTACCGCTGCAATGGCAGCGAGCCCAGCCCTCGGTTGCGACAGTCGTTGCTGCCATTCTGCCATGAGATCGCGCTGGAGGTCTTCCCACCACGCACTAATCTGGCGCGGCAGCGGAGGGAGCGGACGTGCCTCCGCACGCAGACAGAACACGCGCGCGGACACCTTCGCCTCCAAATCCCACGGCGGTAATCCGACAAGAAATTTCGCCTCCTCCCCGGAGATCATGCGGGTCTTGAATAACACAAGGGCTACTTGTTATCCCACAGGAACGCGGGTGAAGCCGCTGGCAGAAGCTAGTTCGACTATAAGTCTACTTCTACCTACACCTACCTGTTTCCGATATATAATTAATTTGTTTTGTACTTAACACTAACTAATTTCCCCAACTCTTACCAGGTTGAGGTCAATGGAAAATGTGTCTGCGAATTCAACCACCACATTCCGTTTGGTAAGATCACCCACATCATGGTGGAGGGAGACGTTACCATAGATGAAATCAGTTTCGTGGGAGCACACCTGCCGCAGGACCTGAATCTGGTAAGCTATTTTTTAACCGACTTCAAAAAGAGACGTTCTCGGACCGACCTCCGGGCGGTCCTCGGAGTGATGACACCCGGGCGTTTCCTCCCGCCCAGTCCGAAACAGGATCCTACCGAAATTTCCGTGTCCGGTAAGCACCTACGTTAGGCGGAAGGTGAGGACGCCGTACCGTCTCTCAAGCCACTCCTCAAAGAGGGGAATTAAAAAAAAATTGAAAATATAAGTGCTACTATAAAGGTTCCGGTGAGTATTTTATATGGTCTTTTTGAACTTTGGCAGGCCTTAGGTACAGTTTGGCCTGTGAATACTATTTAAATCTACCTATACGATGATAAAACTTGTATTTAAAGTCATATAGCTATAAATACTATTAGTAACAGAAAGTAATATTGTTTACTACGAAAGTGTTTCACTTGTTTCAGTCTATATCAACTTGTTTGGTGAAATAAAACTTTTTAATACGTCTTTACTCAACGGACATTTATTGCACACACTTTCTTTATAATAATTCTAGATGAGTGGACTGTATGAACATAATTTGAATGTGTGTGAAGTATGACTGTGTGCGTGAAAAATGTTGCCAACCTAATGAACTTAATCTATTTAGACAAATATAAAGAAATAACCTCTCTAAGAAGTCTTCTTGTCGATTGGTTAAATGTGGGATACCTCAAGGCAGTATCTTGTGTCCTCTATTGTTTCTAAACCATTTCTCCTAATACTCAACGATAATAGTAATTCTTAATGTATAAATGTATTTATTTTCCTTTTTTCCAGGGAATACCAAGCACGAACCTTATTCCTGGGGGTATTTTCCCCGGTCGCATTGTTAAAGTGAAAGGTGGCACTACCCTCGCATCAAAGAGGTAAGTTCATATTCATGTTTAAACGTAGTTAGTGTTACAGTCGTTCTGGTCATAAAGGGGGCGCTTCTCATGGCATCAGAACTATAGATTAGTTACAAATGAAAATATTTGATTAAGTTTCTTGTTAAATATCAAAAAAGAAATGATCGGTGCCATAGGATATCTGGATGATAATGATAATGATGATGAAGATGATCAAGTGTGGGAGAGCCATGCTTCGGCACGAATGGGCCGGCTCGACCGGAGTGATACCACGGCCTCACCGAAGACCGACGTGAAATAACGTTGTGTTGTGTTTCGTCGTGTAGGTGAGGTTACTGGATGCCCAATTACCCCCCCCCCCCCCCTTCCTTTCACAATCATCAAATTCCTAATCCCAAAAGGCCGGTAACGCACTTGTAACGCCTCAAGTGTTCCAGGTATCCATGGGCGACGCCGATTGCTTACCATCAGATGATCCGTCTGCTTGTTTACCGGCTTATCCCATAAAAAAGTAGTTTTTTACACCATTAATGTGTTCAGGTTCTCGGTAAACTTACAATGTGGTCCGAAAATGTACCCTGGAGAAGACATAGCGTTTCATTTCAATCCTCGCTTCGATACAAATATTCTGGTCCGCAACCACTACGCCGGGTCCAAGTGGGGCACTGAGGAGACCAGTTCTGGAGTGCCGATGAACAAAGGAGAATGTTTCGAAATACTTATCTATTGCTATTATTATCGTTTTAAGGTAAGTGGTTCAATCGCAATTCTACTAATATTGTAAATGCGACAGTTTGTATGTTTGTCTGTTACTCCTTCACGTGGAAACCGCTGAAGGGATCGGGATGGAATTTAGAATAGATTATGGTCTGGAATAACACATAGGCGAACACGGGCAAAGCCGCTGGCAGAAGCTAGTTCGACTATAAGTCTACTTCTACCTACACCTACCTGTTTCCGATGAATAATTAATTTGTTTTGTACTTAACACTAACTAATTTCCCCAACTCTCACCAGGTGGAGGTCAATGGAAAATGTGTCTGCGAATTCAACCACCACATCCCGTTTGGTAAGATCACCCACATCATGGTGGAGGGAGACCTTACCATAGATGAAATCAGTTTCGTGGGAGCACACCCGCCACAGGACCCGAACCTGGTAAATCATTTTTTAACCGATTTCTAAACAAGATGTTCTTAAGTTGACCTGTATGTATCTTATTGGCTGAACCGATTTTATTTATTTATTAATTTATTAAACTCTTCAATGCACACAAAATATGGTACAGTCAAAGGTCTGCCACCGTGAGCAATGTTCACACGGCAATGCGTAAGTAATTTCATATTAATGTGCATAAAAACGCCTGCGTACACATAAACACGCACGCGTACGCACACGGATACAAATATGCGTGTGCATGTGTGTATAAGCGCTGCAGCGCAACCGATAGTAGTCTTACGGTGGCAGTGGACTTTTGACCTTTGACTGTACATAATGCCATATGGCATTTTCTTCCAGTTAACCTTTGGGTTAAATATAGATTTTGGTGCAGTTTTCGGAAAAGTTTTTATTATACTTAAGAAAAGGTATAGCATTAGTAATAACTATAAAAATAACTTTCAGCACAATAGGAGTAAAAATTAATATCTGGAAAAAGAAAAAACTCCTGGAAAATACTCCTTACTACTTAAAAGAGGACTACCCTCTAGAGATCCTAAATAAGCGTAAGGAACTACAAGAACAATTGATTCAAGAAAAACAACAAGGCAACAAGGCCTACCTCAGCTACGATAAACTTATCGTAATTAAAAATAAAGAACAACTTCCTCGTAGTCAAACAAATAAAAGAAACCTGTCTGAATCACCTGAACTAACACATACAAAAAACCAAGTAGTCAAAAGAGACCAAAAGCAGTCTTATAAAAAGAACAAGATATCAAATCTAAGAGATTTTATTATACAAAAACCAAAACCTAACCATATTCCCGTTGTTGATTCTCAGGATCAGCCTGAAAACAAAGAAAATAGCACGCACAATAGTGACAAAAAATAACAATTAACAACGGCCCCTCCTGCCTTTCATCTCCCATTACGGTTGGTCACCGCGGGAGAGTTCGACCAAAACCCTCCAGAAAACTCTACTAATAACAAACACACCAAAATAGATTTATTCCAAGTGGCAACATACAATGTAAGAACTTTATCAACAAGTCACAGACTAATGGAGTTGATGGACTCCTTGAAAGACATAGAATATGACGTAATCGGTCTTTCTGAAATCCGGCGTATAGGCACATCAATTCAAGAGCACAATGATTTATATTTTGCTATACGGGGGAAACACGAGGACTGTATGGCGTGGGTTTCATCGTTAAGAAGTATCTCAAAAGAAACATCGTCAGTTTCGAAGGATTATCAGAGCGAGTAGCTATTCTAAAACTAAATATAAATGATTTTCAACTAGACATACACAGGTCTATGCACCAACTGAGGCTTCAAGTGAAGAAGATGTAGAATCTTTCTATAGTACAATTAATAAGGCTCTAAAAAGCTCTGGTAGGAACATTGTGGTTATGGGTGACTTTAACTCAAAAATTGGTCACCCTAGGCCAGAAGAAAACCTTGTAACAAAAAATCATGGATATGGTATAAGGAATGGTAGGGGTGAGCGCCTGATGGATTTCGCATACGAGAACAAACTGAGCATTATGAATACCTTTTTTAAAAAACCTAAAAATCAAAGATGGACCTGGAGATCCCCAGATGGAAACACGAAGAATGAAATTGACTACATATTAACAAATCTAGACAAAAATGTTCTAAATGTACAAGTTTTAAATGTGAACTTCCCCACTGATCACAGACTTTTGAGAGCTTCTTTTATACTACGAAAAGTTAAGAAAAGCCGTACAAAATTCACCAACTGTCTAAGAAATTCATTAAAAAACGAATCCGAAATATCTACATACAAACTATCTCTGGAAAAGCACGAAGACCTACTGCAATATCGAGAGGACGTCACCATACAGGCCAACTACGATAATATAATTCGAGGCTTGGAAAGTAGTCTACAAATACCACAAAACGCCGGAAAAGACACGACTAAACCTAGTGCGATTTCCGCCTACACCAGGAAACTAATGGATAGAAGAAAACAACTACATATTATCAAACCTAAAACAAGATCAGAGAAAAATGAACTAAAAGCACTATATAAACTCATAAGTAAGAACATTAAGAGAGACTACATGCTTCACCGATTGAAAACCATCGAGAAACATATAAAAACTACTGGCAGCATTAAAAAAGCATACAGGGAGCTAAACACTCACAAATTATGGATCAAGGAATTAAAAGAGACTGACAAACTATCACATAACAGGATCGATATTATGAAAACCGCAACAAATTTCTACAAAAAACTATATAATTGTCAAACCTCAAACTCCTCAAATATTTACGATGCCACCAACATCCAGACACAATTACCACAATTACCTGCTAAAAACGGCCCACAAATAAAAACGATAGATGCGATGGAAGTTATAGAAGGAATAAAGAGACTGAAATTAGAAAAATGTCCAGGCCCTGACGGAATTACTAACGAGGCAATAAGAATAGGCTGTAAGCATCTGGTACTTCCTCTGACACATCTCTTCAACTCTATACTAGATTCGGGCATCACGCCTTTTCAATGGTCGGAGTCGAACATGATTCTACTCTACAAGAAAGGAGATCCCACGAATATAAGCAACTATCGCCCTATCAGTCTGTTGCCCACACTCTACAAACTCTTTTCATCGATAATCGAAAAGAGGATCAGTGAGTCTTGAGGAACACCAACCGATAGAACAAGCTGGTTTTAGGAGGGGATATTCTACAATAGATCACATCCATGCGATAGAACAAATAATCGAGAAATATACTGAATATCAGAAACCACTGTACGTGGTGTTCATCGATTACCAGAAAGCCTTTGACACAATTCGACACTCTTCTATATGGACCGCCTTAAGATCACAAAACGTTGAACAGAAATATATAAAAGTCATAGAATATTTGTACAACAACTGCACAAGTAGAATTAAACTTGAAACAATGGGTCCACGGATACCCATAAAGAGAGGTGTAAGACAAGGCGACCCGCTATCTCCAAAACTTTTTATAGCCGTACTAGAGATGGTCTTCAGCAAACTTAACTGGGATAGAACAGGGCTAAACATTAACGGCAAGTTTATCAGTCCTTAGATTTGCCGACGATATTATTCTACTATCCGAGAGTGCTGAGGAGATGGAATCAATGTTACACTCACTAAAAACTATGAGCTACGAAGTAGGCTTGGAAATGAATCTAAATAAAACAAAAATTATGTCCAACAGCAAAAAACACCCGGTATATCTTGATCAAATACCATTAGAATACGTAGACAGTTACATTTATCTAGGCAAACAAGTATCCTTCGGAAAACAAAGTAACGAACTGGAAGTTGAAAGAAGAATCTTAAGCGCATGGAAAAAATTCTGGAGCTTTAAAGAAATATTAAAAGGATCAACGCCTATGAATTTAAAGAAAAAACTGATGGATACATGCCTGCTCCCCTCTATCACCTACGGTTGTCAAACATGGAAATACACCCTAGGCGTAAGAAATAAGATCAGAACCTGCCAAAGATCTATGGAAAGAAGCATTACAAATATTAGAAAAATACAAAAAATCCCACACAATATCATACGGGAAAAGACTAAACTGATAGATGTCCTAAACTTCTCACAAAAGTTAAAATGGCGTTGGGCTGGCCACGTAGCTAGGTTGAGCGATGACCGTTGGACCTACAGACTGACATTATGGCGGGGTCCCAGAGGTATCAGAAAGAGAGGTAGACCTATAACTCGTTGGGATAACGATATTATAAAAATAGCTGGTGAAAAGTGGAAGACAATTGCCAAAGATAGGGATATATGGAAAAGTCTGGAGGAGGCCTTCACCCTCACATAAGAGGGGTTCTTGCATGCTTGCATGATGTTTATTATAATTTATTATATTTTATACACCTTGTAGATTGAATATTCTTGTAATTTTGATTATTATAAATGTCGTAAAATTGAATTTATTATAATTATTTTAAATTTTAAATGTGTAATTAAATTTATATAAAAGTAATTTTAAATCAATAATGGAATTCATTTAATGATGATTCTCATAACTTTTATAATTATTAATATGGAATATAAATAATTTTACATTAAGAAACCATTATTTAATCATTTTTAATTTTTCATGTTTCTTTTGTTATGTTATGTTTTTCATGTTAAGTAATTTTGCAAGAAATAAAAGGCTTTTTATTTTATTTTATTTTTATTATTTATTTATTTATAGCATTAGTATATTAATCAACCAATTTCATAAAAATATTCAAGGGTTCAAGTCGGTTTTTTTACACGTAGTTTAAAAAGAATTATTAAATAAATAAAAATTCAAAATTATATATTTCAATTATATTTCAATAATTGGGTATTTGACAACTAGTCATATTCGATACTTCTTTCGAACTGTCAAAAACGACAGTTTTCTATGAATTTTGTACGAGATTGTGTATTGTGACGTCACGTTTTTTAGCGTCAAATAGTTTTTTTTTAAGTTTCTTTTGAACAATCGAAATAATTTATTTTTAACTAGGGACCCGCCCCGGCTTCGCACAGGTACAATATGCATGTATTATACATATTATAAACCTGCCTAAGAATCACTCTATCTATTGAAAAAACCGCATCAAAATCCGTTGCGTAGTTCTAAAGATCTAAGCATACATAGGGACAGACAGACGGCGGATAGCTTAGCTAGACTTTGTTTTATACTATGTAGTGATTAAGGAAAGTATCCAATTTGGTAGTTCTACCTGGAATTTTTTCCGTGAATCAGCAATTTGTGGATTTTCATGTGCTCATTTCGATTTCCATTTTGCACCACTGTATGTGTACCGCTCAGCTGCCAACCTGGAAAAATGGCACACAAAAACAGATTTTACAATATATCTGTTTTCCTGTGCATTTTTATCGGAGATCGTGCGGTATCCGCGGATGATTTGGATCGCCATGTCCCTCTGGGACGTAAACAGCGCCCGAGCGGGCCGCCGCATCAGTTTAGGCGCTCACACCGTCTAGAGCCTTGGACCGCAGTCGTTCAGTAGTGAAGCTATTTGCTCACTCCAAAGTATAGATTTTTATTTAGAAAAACGAGTGGAACAAGCATGGCAAGCGCACACTCCTACTCTCTCGAGCAAACTGATCACCTGATGGTAAGCAGCACTGCCGAGATCCTAACGGGTTACCGGGGCTCCGGCTCGACGTGTAGGAAGAGGAACGGGGTGGTTTTTAGTCAGTAAGAGTCTGACACTCCCTCCCGCCTCACCCAGGCGGGAGCAGTTATTCGATCATTTTCCCCCCTTAAAAAAAGCAGCTCCGCCTATGAACTAAATCTGTTAACGGAGTGGCAACGTTGCGCCACTCCTCGTACAAATTCACCGATCATCATTTGTAGGTTGCATGCATTTGTCAAATGACGCGTCGTGGATAGTAGATCTTTAAATAACTTTTTTTATAGCATAAGCCGGTAAACGAGCAGACGGATCACCTGATGGTAAGCAATCGGCGTCGCCCATGGACACTCGACCAAGGCGTTACAAGTGCTTTACCGGCCTTTTGTGGAATTGGGAATTTGAGGATTGTGGAGGATTCGGGGACTAGGGAGGGGGGTAATTGGGCCTCCGGTAGCCTCACTCACACGATGAAACACAACGCAAGCGATGTTTCACGTCGGTTTTCCGCTCGGCCGTGATATCAATCCGGTCGAGCCGGCCCATTCGTGCCGAAGCATGGCTCTCCCACACTTAAACTATTTTTCTTCTATATTTCCAGAAAGTACCATTCGCGGTTCCTATTCTAGGGTGTATGCAACCCGGCCGCTGGATTAGAGTGAAGGGAACGACCCCTGCTGGAGGAGAGAGGTATAACTTTAAATTCATATTAAATACTAGCTGCACCCGCAACTTCGACTGTGTTTCTCTAAAACAAATGTATGCCTATGTTTACGATCTCCGGCCACCGTAAGCGCGGGCCTGCGGACGGCGAGCATGGGTGGCTCCCCGTCCGACCAGAAACAGACCCGAGCGTACGGCGCGTCGCGTTCCGCGCGCACCTCAGAGAGCCATCAGACCACCACGGATGGAACCCAATAGGGCTGATGCCGATTCGGAGTCGCGGAGAACTTAACGGCTTACCGGGGCTCCGGCTCGAAGCGCAGTAGTATGAACGGGGTGGTTTTTAGTCAGTAAGAGTCTGACACTCCCTCCCGCCTCACCCAGGCGGCAAAAGTAATTCGATGATTTTCCCCCTTAAAAAAAGTCCCAGTAGTGATCTGTCGGTAACCGATGATGATGATTTTAAGCCACCATTTTGTCACCAGGTTCGCGATAAACCTCCAATGTGGTCCGAAACTGTATCCTGACGAAGAGATAGCCTTCAGTTTTAGCCCTCGTTTCAACCAGGGGAATATAGTACTCAACCATTTCGGTTGCTCGAAGTGGGGCCACGAGGTGACGGAGGGACCCTTGCCGCTCAGCAGTGGATCACCATTCGAATTTTATATTTATTGCTACCAAAATTCTTTTAAGGTAAGTCGTGAATATTAAGTGTGGGAGAGCCATGCTACAGCGCGAATGGGCCGGCTCGACCGGAGTGATACCACAGCCTCACAGAAAACCGACGTGAAGCAGCGCTGTTTCGTCGTGTGAGTGAGGTTACCGGAGGCCCAATTACTCTCCCCTTCCCCAATCTCCCCAATTCCTGAATCCCCAACGATCATCAAACTCCTAATCCCCAAAAGGCCGGTAACACACTTGTAACGCCTCTGGTGTTCCAGGTGTCCATGGGCGACGCCACTTGCTTACCATCAGGTGATCCGTCTGGTCGTTTACCGGCTTACGCCATAAAAAAATATTAATTAGGTGACCGGCTGATGTGCAACGTGTCATTGGTTCTATTCCCGCATCTGTCGGCTAAAAAGTGATAATGGCTTATTTGAGTAAATTAACCATTATTTGCCCGGAGTCAGGAAGTTGTCAGTGCTTCGACCCCGTGCTTCGGAAAGCTCGTAAAGTTGTTGGTCTCTCTCTCCAGTCGTGTCAGTCTGTCGTCCCATCGAGTTCAGAGAGTGAGTGGACAGAGAGTGTACCTGTGTTTGCGCACACTTGTGTATTATAATATCTCCTGTGTAGTGGGCTAGTCGAGTTAGAGTCTCTTGGCTCTGAAGTACTTTATTTTGTGTTGGATACTTCGTTTATAGTAATATACAATACTAATTCCACTACCCCCAGGTGTTGTTAAACGAACAACAGGTCTGCGAGTTTACTCATCGGCTCCCGATACAGAGAATCACTCACGTCATGGTGGACGGCGACGCCATGATATTCGAGTTGGACTACGATTCGCCTGAACACCCGGTAAGTTGTGACAACGTTCTTTATGGTAGGGCGGCAAGCGAGCAGACGGATCACCTGATGGTAAGCAATCAGTGGCGCCCATAGACATTGCCGTCCTTGGAGCAAGGAATGGCTATATTATTGGTCACCGTACGACGCTAGTTATATCTATAAAGTTAACTACCGACCCGCCCCGGCTGCGCATGGGTGCAATACGTATGTAAAATACATTATAAACCTTCCTTCACCGGTCACCGGTGACCGACGTTAGCGGAGGATTTACCTTTAACAGTTTTTTATTGGCAGTCTAAGTCTTAAGAATCACTCTATCTATTAAAAAAACCGCATCAAAATTCGTTGCGTAGTTTAAAATAGAATCATACATAGGGACAGACAGACGGCGGTTATCGATTGTTTTATACTATGTAGTGATTATAAAATTGACATGTTTCAGTGTGGACCACCACCATCTTCCGGCTCCGGAGAAATTTCTGGTAAGTGTATTTATAGCATACATATTAGATATCATAAAGGTCTCTGCACACAAGGGGCGGGGCGCGGCGGGGCGGGACGGGACGGGACGGCGACGCGACACTGAGCAGTTGTAAAAAGCAGCCTATGTGTTGTATATAAGGCTCACCCCCTATTACATGGGACTCATAGCATAAATAGTGGAAAGTGGGTGTTACATTGTACAGTGGTATTAAGTACCGTAATGTGCACGTCTGCCTACCCCTTCGGGGATAAAAGGCGTGATGTTAAGTTTTATGAATTATAAGTATGTATGCAGTTAATTTTGTTTTAGTATTTTTCTTCTTTTTTATTTACTATTTTAATTATTTATAGTTAATTTCATGTTGAAGTATTCATAATAGGGATGATGACAGAGTATGAGAATTAAAAATCGAATTAGTCCGTAACGAATCAAAGGTTAGGAGTGGGGGCTAAAACGTCATTTCTACGTATAAAATGTACATAGAAGTGACGTCACGCAACATTTCAAATAAATATATTGTCGAAAGTATTTGTTTCTGTAAGAAAATAAAAAATACGTGTGTAATGATTTAAAATAATCTACCAGACGGACATTAAAATACAAATTAAGCATCTACCCTATTGTGTTATTTGAGTTAGTACTTAATTAAAAATAATCTTTTTTGTTTCCAGGTCCCTATTAAATACCGAAGAGATGCTGGAAATCTGATCTAAACAAGAATTACACCGTACTGGCTGAATGTAACCTTCTTTGTTTGTTTTATGCTTGTTTTCACATTTTGATGTTTAATATTAAAACATATTAAGCTTCTTTGATGTTTCTTTTATTCCCCCAGGTGGCCTATTATGACGTCTTATAGCCAGAGTAGTTCCATTGAAGGAACGGCATCTCGCTAGACGACTTGTGTAGCTTTATTTATTTTATTCTTGTATAGAAGCACTATTTTATATGGATCAGTGTACATATAATGTTCTAATTTAATGACTTGTAACTGTCGATAAAATAATTGCGAAATGCATTGCTCTGAAAAGAGAGTTTATTTTTATAAACAATATGTTTTAACAATATGGCAATAGGCTCACCCCCTATTACATGGGACTCATAACATAAATAGTAAAAAGTGGGTGTTACATTGTACAGTGGTATAATGTGCACCTCTGCCTACCCCTTCGAGGATAAAAGGCGTGATGTTATGTTATGTTATGTTTTAACAATCAAATACAATGGTAAGGTATTTACAATCAATAACAATCCTCACCTGAAAAGAGAAACAACATTTAAGCTATATTTTCACTTATTACTTTATACTCACCGGTATTTTATTTTACACATAACCTAGTAATGTCATCCAACGAGGCATAGCTAATAAACTTCAAACATCACACACCGATGACGCGCCAAATTCGAATCAAGTTAAGCGCGGCAAATTCAAATTGAATGAAGGGTGATAAACTTCATTTACATACATATGAGGATCATGTCAGACTTAAAATATTTGTTTTCTCTTGGTTTTATTTTTTTACTAGCTTCTGCCAGCGGCTTCGCCCGCGATCTCAGGGGTAAAATGCCTATGTATCACTTCAGACCATAATCTACCTCTGTTCCGAATTTCATTCCGGTCCCTTCAGTGCTTTTAATATGACTGAGTAACAAACATACACATAAACTCACATATTTTCATTTATAATATCGAGTCAAGCTAATTTCAACCATTGGCCTTTCAGTTACAGCGTAATGTCTATGAATGAGTATTGTAAACGTTAGAGTAGACAAATACAATCAGAAATCACAGAATTGCTAAGCTATCGGGAGTTTCACGTGTTATTGTGAGTCAACCATAAAAGATAGACATATGCTGTCGAGGAATATTTTTTATATAATTTTAAGGAGAATATTTCCGTCATATATGATTTCTATGCAGCTTTAACCTATAAGCCTGCACACGCGACGGAAGCTTAAAAAATGGAGTAACTTCTCCCGTTTTCCCAATATTTCCCTTCACTGCTCTGCTCCTTTTGATCGTAGCGTAATGAAAAGTATACTATAACCTGCCCAAGAGTATGAAGAATAATTGTGCCAAATTTCGTTAAAATCCATCGAGTAGTTTTTGTTTCCATAACGAACATACAGACAGACAGACAGACAGACAAAAATTTTACTGATTGCATTTTTGGCATCAGTAGCGATCCCTAACCACCCCTTGATAGTTATTTTTTAAATATATTGTATGTACAGAATTGACCTCTCTACAGATTTATTATAAGTATAGATTTCAGTACGTTCTGTTATTTGTATGTTGCGTCAGGTATGTCTTTATATTATTCTCACATGTGTGCACAATATTGGAATATGTATCAGAGCAATGTAAAACAGACTCTTTTTTAAAAGAGTAACGAATGGAGTTTCTTGCTCGTTCTTCTCCACTCGAATCGACATTTTGGAACGAGCGCCTAGCTTCACTGACGGGACAGACTGACAGACTATTATTTATTTCATACTAGCTTTTACCCGCGGCTTCGCTCGCGTCACAAAAAGATAAAAAGCCAATGTGACATATACGAATACACACAGCGCCATCTATACCAATACTTTTGTTTTCCCTCGGGAATATCAAATTTTACCGGGATAAAAAGTACCCTATGGTTTAATCCCGACTTCTATACATCTGCAAAAATTCAAAGCAATCGGTTAGTAGTTATGGCGTGAAAGCGGAACAAACAAACAAACTCACTTTCCGATTTATAATATTAGTAAGGATTTGTTGACGTTTCAAAAGTACCAAAGTATGGTTAAATAAATGCTTTTAAGTTTGAGTTTGAGCTCGGTTTCTTTCCCTCAATGGAAACTGAAACCATTCTGACTATAGGACGTCATATTAACCCCGCTGAACCTAATACGGTAGGTATAATAGCCGGTATACATTATGTTAAGATTTATTTTACAACTAGCTTCTGCCAGCGGCTTCGCCCGCGTTCCTAGGGTTAAAAAGTAGCCTATGTATTGCTTCAGATCATAATCTACCCCTACTCCAAATTTCATCCCGGTCCCTTCACCCGTTTTGACGTGATTGAGTAACAAACATACACACAAACACACATATTTACACATTTATAATATCGGTTCAAGCTAATTTCAACTATAGGCCCTACAGTTAAAGCGTAAAGTCCATTGCAGGTAACCTAACATTCGACAAACTTAAAAGAATCGATCTTCTCGTTGATATCCTCAGTATCAACCACAACTCGCCAGTCAATAAGGCCCACATTACGCCGCAACGCTTCCAAATCCAACCTCTTATAGCGACGCAGATTCACGTATTGGGGTCTTCGTTTAGGTGTCCGCATGAGATAAGCAGCTGTAGCCAAATACCACTTACCGCTTGTCTACATGTAGAATAGAAAACCAAATTATATGGAATTGACGTAAATTTTGACACTTGTCAGTGTCATCCCCATACATTTTGATTTATAATCTCTCTGTAGACAAGCGCTAAAGTGGCGTTTGGCTAGAGGCCCTGCAGTGCTAGCCAAATGCCATTTAGCGCTTGTCTACATGTAGAATAGAAAACCAAATTATATGGAATTGACGTAAATTTTGACACTTGTCAGTGTCATCCCCATACATTTTGATATCTACTCTCACTGTAGACAAGCGCTAAAGTGGCTTTTGGCTAGAGGCCCTGATAAGTAAATAAGGTTGTCTAACCGTCAAGTAATTGACATGTAAGAAACCCGCGATTCAAAGAACAAGTGTTCCAATATTCGTCCAGAGATGGCGCTTTTATTTGATATCGTTTTCTGAATCGCGGTGTTAAGATTCTCCGCCAATAGGTAGTATAAGTGTCTGAAGAATTTATTTTTTGATGTTGGTATCAATTCTATCTCGTGCTTTTGTATGATATTATTCATTTGGTACAATAATTCGGAATAAAAGTGTTCGTTAACCAATACCCAGTACTTTTATTTAAATCAACCCCCAGCTGTACCTAATTATCTAATTACCTAACTGACGGACTAATTAAATTTTTAATTTTCATTTCCTGTCATCATCCCTATTAGAGAAGGGTTCCGAAAATTTAAATGTAACCAAACAGTGTCGCGGAGAACCTAACGGGTAACCGGGGCTCCGGCTCGACGTGCAGGAGAAGGAACGGGGTGGTTTTTAGTCAGTAAGAGTCTGACACTCCCTTCCACCTCACCCAGGCGGGAGCAGTCATTCGATGATTTTCTCCCCTTAAAAAAAAAAAAAAATGTAACCAAACAGTACATCTCATAATGATTTTTGCTTAATTGATTCCCTTTTCGTTCACAAAACTTCGTAATAAATGGTATTGAAGTAGGAAATGTGCGAAGTTTCAGACGAAACTTCGTTTTTCGTCGATTCAGAGTAGACTTACAGTTCTCTTTGCCGAACTTTGGCCCATGCATGGTGGGGAAGGTTATACTGCCTTATCAAGCTCATCAGATACGACATTTATAAAAATATTAAAACATCTCCCACGACAAAACGGAGCGACACATTGACGTGACTTTTTAAATGAAGATAGTTGAATGGATGGATAGTGGCATAGGCTCCTTTTGTATTTTTTTACCCATTACTTCTCTTAAATTAGGGGTTGTATAGACCATATTACATGGGACTCGTATAAATAGTGAAAAGTAGGTGTTACATTGTACAGTGGCATTAAGTGCCGAAATGTGTACCTCTGCCTACCCCTTCGGAGATAAAAAGGCGTGATATTATGTTATGTAAAAAACATTTTTAAAAATCAAATCAGTTTATTTATTTAAAAAAATACAAAAATCATTGAAGGTTTAAGTGATATTTTTGCAAAATAAATGCAATGTAAAATTAAATAAGTAAATTATATCAGCGTCTCAGCATATCTTCTTACTGGAGAAGTGATCTGAAAGATAAAAGACAATTGTTTTATTTATTTATTCTTTTATATACACAATTTAATTATGGCACATAAGGCGAACTTAATGCCATATGGCATTCTCTACCAGTCAACCTAAGGGTTTAAGTAGAAAATCAGCGAAAAATAAGGTACGGAGAATAAACTAACAACAAAGGAAGAGAGATTGTTCATATTTATGTCTATACTTTTTTATTATTACTTTACCACTTACACTATCGTACCGTACCGTGTATAAGAGGCGTACGAGGGGCCGAAGTCAACTGCGCAAAGGCCCTTAAGACAACTTTTATCTAAATGTAATGGAGACACAAACCGGCGACTATCCCTGTATGCACTATGGAAATGCACCCAAGGACAGTCTGTGGTTAGTGCAGAACTATTGTAGATAATGGAAAAAAAGGTAGGGCTATGGGTTGCTGTGGACTGGTAAATTAGGAACTATGGATGACTATGGCACCTGCCGAAACAATGTAAGCATTACACGTACAAATGGCAGGCGGAGACTCGCCAACTCACCGACCGCGCCCCGGGTATGGTTTGGAAACCTGGGCTTATAGTTTTTATTTAAAAGTTGAACTATCCAAACTGCATTGAGTAAGCGTGGTGACTAATGCTCGAACCTCTGTGTGAGAGGCCTTTGGTTAGCAGTGGGCACTTGTATGCTGTTGATGTGAATGTAGCTTACCATGATCACATCGGACGACGACTATTATCCTTCAAAGGTAATCTGATTGATCAGCACGTCACCGTCTCCCTTCACG